GACATAGCGGAAAGTGTCCCAACTCTGCATAAGTCCTAGCTCCATAATGAACAGCTATTTGTTCTTGGACAAGTTGCTCCTCTTGGGCTCAGTGTTGTCTTCTACAAAGTAAGGACTTTGCTGCCTTATTTCACTAGGTTATTATAAAGATTTAACAAGATATCATTTTTTAAATGCTTAGAGAAACAGTAAAGCAATGGAATAATCTGTTCCTAAACTTTACAACTGAAATCATCTTGGAATCCCAAATAAAATCCAATCTGTATTTTGTTCATAGGTTCTAATATGAAAATGTTGCTGTTTTCAGAAAATGTTATTAAGTCCTAATTTTGCTTATTAGTTGTCCTACTCTTTGTGACTTATAATTTAGGGTATCTCAACTATTTCATAGTTTGTAACTAAATTTATTGATAAATATCTCATTAAAGTAGGTGATGTGATTGTCCACTATTATGGAGTTTATCAATGAAACTAATGGCAGAAAAACCAATGGATGTAAGACCTGGCTTGGACCAATGATCCTTCTCTACGGACTGAAACTGTGAACCAGCAGATGTTTGCTAGGATGATGCTTTACACCCATGTTCATATCCAGCTGACATGGGAGACCAAAACCCTACTTTCATTTTTTTTTTAGGTTCCATGAAGAAGTTGCAAGTTGACATTCTCTAAGTTTTGACATACACACTTAACAACATATTTTGCACATAACACCCGACACATTATTCAGTTCTGGTGTCATCTCATAGACCACCTTACATGACTATTTTTGTAGTGCAAATCATAATTTCAATATTTTGATAGCACCCATTTTCCTTTATTCAAACAGTTTCCTTACAGCTAGTCAGCAAACAGTCAAATAACCTTCTAGTGACTGTGCAAAAGATGGAATGCTTCAAAAATCTGTGCAGCCTCCTTATGCAGGGGCCATGCTAATTTTCTCTGTAGTGTTTCAATTTGAGAATATGTGCTGCCGAAGCAAGCACAAAGCCCTACTTTTACACATGATTGGTGATGAAACATGGATAAGGTTTGGTCCTGTTAAGTCCAACTAACCTACTTGACATTCTGAGAATTCTCTTCAGTGGCTTCCTGGGAGGCAGAATTTGAAAATATTTTTAAATTTTGAGGTAGAGGTGCAAGTAGCTTGGGCAATTGTCATTATTATGTAAAACAGATCACTCAGGGGCCAACCACCACTGGGAGTCTGCTGCTCTGGGGAAGGTTAATATGGGACTTTCTACTGCCTAAGGTACTATACAGGATATAAAGGTGTGGGAGGGTACAGACCTGGTAGCAAAGAAGAAAGAAACACTGATCTCTTTCTGCCACATTATTTCAACCTCTCTGACCATTTAGAACAAGCCCAATGAACATCTGCTAGATAAAAGACCAACACGGGCCTCAAAGAATCTCTTACCATGAAGGTCTCAGCTAAGTCTAGGCTGAGATGTGGGTTCCACATCAGGTTCTGAATATGGGGGTAAGGGTCAATTTGTTCACTTTGTGTGTGGATAAAGTCACACTGCCAGAGCAGGTTCTTTGGCAATAACGGCTGAGCATATAAGCATAGGTATGTGAACTAAAACATGCTATAACTTCAACGTCTCTGTATGGATCACCATGAAGACCTGAGGGATCTGAATCAGTACGGGCATCTTGGTGTCAAAGGTCAACCATTATCAGGCAGCAGGACCAGTTTTAGGGGCAATAATGCAGCAACAGAATTAACAGAAACAACAGAATGATTGGAATGTCCTTTGTTTCTCCTCCTTCTGATTTGATAAAGGGATTGCCTTCCTTGGATTTAGTGAACCCCGTTCGTTCTTGAAAAATTCAAGGAGTACGTAGAAGATAGTTCTCAGAAGACAGTAAAAGATTTTCTGCTAAACTGGACATTTCAAGACCCAAATAACTGATCAGAAAAATCAAAGATGTTACACTATTTTTTAATCTCATGCATAGGTTTTATTCTTGGATGAAATGAACAATGTTGGGATCTCTAAACATAAAGGTCTTACAAGTGCTGAGATAAAGAATCCAGCACGCACTAGCACATGTAACCAGTCTAGCTTTTTGTTTGATTTCTAACTGCGGCAGGGGACTAACTCACTGCCACTCTAAAACCACCTGAGCCAAACTATGACATCTCACCTGATAAGATACAATCGTTGTAAATATTTTAAGCCTCGATTTAGTGTTAACTAGCATTTTAATGTAAACACTTACATGTCATGATGACTAGAAACAGCATAATCGGTGGCAGTTTTCCCAGACAGATCTTGAAAAAATATATCAATATCTTGCTCAAGTAGAAGGCTAACTATACTTGCTGATCCACAACATACAGCAAGTATGAGAGCAGTTCTAAAATGACAGAGAATTTCTCCCTTAAGAACTATAGTAAAATTTAAAGCTAATCTAGTATACATTACCAATTTAATATCTTGCCTATCCATGCAGAATTAAACATAATTAAATATTTATATGTATTAAATGACATAAGCATCTTGGGTGCTCAAGTGTTCATCTTTGTAAAATACCACCAAGGTTAAAAGGAAGGGACAAAAAGAAAACCTCTTATCTCAGTGGGATATTGCATCATAGAAGCTACTAATTTAAAGGCTTTTGATGGGCAAGAAACTATGCTATGGCCACTTATCTGAAGTGGACAAAAATTTAAGTGAAGATTTCTTCCCAGCTTCCCTAGGCTGATATGCTGTAATAGAAAATCAGCCAGGGGATTACATAAGAGCTATCTGCATGCTGAAAGCAGTAATATTAATAACGGGGAGAATAGTGGTCATAGTTGTTTCAGTTAACAATGCCAATAAGCATGAGCTGGGCACTAAATTAAATGCTGTACATACACATCTTTCTTACTTATGCACAGCCAATTTTGAAGGACATATTCTCCTTTTCACATATGACAACATATTTGGTGGTAAATACCATTCCAAGGTCACACATCTAGCAAGTAAGAAAGCTAGGAATTAAACCCAGTCTTGTGTGAATCCAAAGCCTTGCTCTTTTCTCTTATCGCCCAAATACAGCTTGCTTGCCTTCACTAAAGGAAAAGTATATCCACTTAAAACTAACTTACTCCCTCTCTCCATACCAATTAAAAATAAAAACATCAAAATACACTGGAAATAAAACAAAAGCTGATGAACCCACAGTATCAATTGTATGTAGGGATAAGCTAACATTAATATCCTTCAAAGAAAGCAAATTAAAGCAGAGTCATTCAAAACATAAAATGATTATCAACTCCTATTGATGTTGAATACAGCATACTTAGCAGAAAAGCATATAAGACACAGAGGTTAAAAACTACCAGAAAGGGGTAAGAAGTTCAATATTGAGTCATAAAGTAAACCTAAAATTAAAGTTCACACTTCATGAGACTAACATGAAATCCATTTAGCTAACATAAAATCATATAACCAAAAAGGTCACATAATAACATCAGTCAATGTAGTAAGATGAATCCTACTAAAACTGTTCTTTATGTTGCCCAGTTTAACTCTTTTTCTACTTAACTGATTCGTGTTAATCCTGATCACTATGTCACAATAAGTTAATCTTATGAATATTTATGACGTGAGTGACTGCTATCACTCTAGAACAACAGACAGATTAAAAGAAATAACTGTACCTTCCAAATTTATCAAGGGCATTTAAATTAGCTTTTTTCTTGATTAAAAATTTCACCATTTGCTGTTTCTGTCCATGTATGCCAAGCAGAAGTGGCGTGAGGCCACACTGTAAAACAATGCAAAGCAAAAATGATATCTGATTCAAAAATTACATTTTCTCAACTGAACTGAAAACTATATAAGATCCTATAAACTTACACTCATAGAAAGTAAACAAATTGTAGTCACTTCCCTCTTACTCTTCTGTGCTTTCCCACACATCGCTCCTTCCCTTGGAGACATTCCTCCTCTGCCTCACCACATTAACTCTGATCATCTCAGAAACTGACTTTAAACATTTATTCGTTCCAGGAATCTTTGCTTCTAAGCCAGCATTTGGCACAGTATTATTGGATGATAATATTTTTTTCCCCATCTAAGCAAAGAGCTTCTTGAGGGCAGAAGCTGTATCTTTTATCTCTATATCCTCAAAACCTAAGACAAATTGTTGGGTATTAAGCAAGAATTTGAATGTAAAATATTTTTTAGTTTCACATGTTTCACCAAAAGATCAAACTCCAATGTGAAATAAAAATTGCTATTAAGACTCATACTGCCCATTTCAAGAATGTTTCCAACATTTATTCATTTAAAATCTATTTGTATTTAATTTTTTCAGACTGTTAACTAAATAATCAGTTCATAGGACTACTAAAACTAAATTAACAGAATTCCTATACGTATTCTTAATAACTCCATGATTTTTAGTGTTTTAAAACTGCCATCCTGATTAGGCCAATGCTCTACAAACTTAAGAGACATACTGGATAGTCGATAATACAGCTTCAATTGGCCAAAACGGTTTAGAATTTGCTAAATGTTTAATTGAGAAAACTCTGCTCTTAATAACAACTTATTGCCCTAAGCGCTTGAATAATAAGTGACACCTAAATGATAAGAGTAGCGACACAAAATCCTGAGAGGACCATCCTCTACTTATTGAAAGATACTCACTGCAAAAAGACCTTCTGAATGGCAGTGAATAACTGAAGGTAGGAAGGAAAAGCTATTATTCTGTAAGCTGATTGATACTGCCAATAATATTCATTTTAATGTCCCAATCACAGAGATAAAATTCAGACTAGGACAGGAATTGTGGCTCACACCTGTAATCCTAGCATTTTGAAAGCCTGAGGCAGGTGAATCGCTTGAGCCCAGGAGTTCAAGACTCGCCTAGGAAACATGGCAAAAAACCCATCTCTACTAAAAAAAAAAAAAAATACAAAAACTGAGGTTGGAGGACCACCTGAGCTTGGAGAGGTCAAGGCTGTGGTGAGCTGTGATAGCACTACTGCACTCCAGCCTGGAAAACAGAGACCTCCTCTCAAAAAAGAAAAAGTCAAACTACTATTACTGGAAATTAAAGATGTAAAGGAATGAGCACATATCCAACTCCAACTCTTCTAGAGATATCTCAGTTTCTGAGATGTAAGAATTTACACATTACACTTATCTATTCAGTGGTTCTTAAGCAGGTGTGTATCCAGATTTTGAGGAATTTCTTGTTGTTGTTAGAGACAAGGTCTCATTACGTAGCCCAGGATAAACTCAAACTCCTGAGCTCAAGCAATTCTCCCACCTCAGCCTCCCTAGCAGCTGAGACTATAGCCGTGCACCACCATGCCTGGTTCAAGGAAACATTTTTAACATACATGTCCAGGCTTTATCAGACTTACTTTATGAAAATCTTCAGGGGAGAGCCTAGAGTGGTAGATTATTTAAAATTTTTCCTCAGGTTACTGGGATGCACAATTCTAGCTGAAAACTAGTACAATAGATAATTACTTCAGTGTCCTCTCAGCCACATGACCAACTCCCTTTATCATTTCAGGATTTGGCCAAAAAGAGAAAAGAGTAGGAGAGAGATTCATTTGCTGAAATCACCACGTAATTTTCCTGGGTAAGGGGAGAACAGGGTCTAGTAAACTCAAAATACAACTTGATCTTCGTACTTGTAAGCTACTGATGTCCCACCTTTCCATCAAGACATTCTAGATTTGAAAGCAGAGTTGAGACTCTACTTGGCTATTTCTACCAGAATAGAATAGTACACAGTCAGTTAAGTACTTGTGATTCCCTCTTCTCAAGGGTTTCCCACTACATTACACCTATTCATTGCCAATCTGGTTCCTCAGAGGCCTCCTAAAATTGATCTCTGGGCAGTTTACAACTTGCTAACTCCCAATCCCAAACTGAAAACTGTCATTCTCTAAAACTGAAGAGAACCTTGCTTCACCATACAAAGAAACAAATGAATGAACAACAACAACACCACACACACCAACAAC